TTTCTTATCAATCCAGCATTCAAGGGTTCTGTGCTTGAAGTTTCAAGTTGTGGGATGCATGAATCAACAGCCATCACCCAGGCAAGGTAAGCAGCCACGGTTTCAGCATATTAAGCACATTTTGCTCAGCGGGGCAAAGAAAGGAATAATGGACGGATTCTCCTTGTATAATTAGTTTTTAAAGCCCCGAGGACTGTTTGGCACTTGGTGTCCTTCAAGTCATAAAAAGGTTACCTCTCATTTCATTAATAGAACAGAATTTTCAGCCCTGGAAGTACATTTATTATTAGCCGACTTGACTTTGATGTGCGAGAACAGAAGAGGAAGAGACGCAGGAGGCATAACAAATCATTACAGCTGTCCCCTGCACAGCCATAGTCAAAAGGCATAGTCAGGCAGCCAAAGTTATCAGCAAATGATGGTACAGTCACTGTTATCTCTATTAATGTGGCATATGGGGATTAAACACACATACTTTAAATCATGCCTTAACTGGTACATTCAGAGTATACACCAGCTTGCTTGTCAGTATAGAGTATGTAGGTTTGCAATTATTATTGGTTAAATAAGGCAATATTTGGCCAGGCTTCTATGCATAAAGATGTCTTGTATTTTCAGCAGCACTTACAAGGCCTCATTTATATGTGCGCATCTTTATTTGTACTTAAAGGCATTTGAAATACAAACTATGTCATGCGCTCTGTGCCACTATAGTCAGTCGTGCTGGAAGGATATGTGAACGTGCCATTCACTATTATGTCTCAGATCTCATCATGCTGTTCCTGTGCTGTTATGTAGATTGGTGAATAGACTACTCCTGCAAGCACACACACTGATTATTGCTATATTTATCAAAAGTTTTTGTTAAATGTATTTATTGTGTTGTACACTAGTAGTTTGTGTCCTCCCGTTATCCCAAGGAGAACTATGGGGAAAACACTGACCCCATAGTTCTCCTTTAATTTAGTGTTTGTGATCCAGCAGTACAGAAATGTTTGCCTTCCTTGCCATATTTTTGCTGGGAAGAGGGGAAATAACCTTGAGATATTCTATTTTTCTATAAATGTATAGTCTAACAAGTATGTAGTATACAAACTGCTTATACCCGTATGATGACACATGCCTGTTACCAAGGCAAAAATCAATAGAAAGGCTGGTTCACACTCTTACATTGTGGGAATGTGCATGCTGCGTTTGGGGTGCTGCGGTGCCATTCAGTTTTAGCAGCACCCTAATGCACCTTAATAATGCACTGAGCCCATCTCAAGCAAGGCAAATTGCCTTGTCTTGTGTTGGGGCTGCACTGGAAAAAACAGCCAGCATATGGTGTGAATGGGCCCTTTTAAATCACATCACAGTATGCCATTTATAGAATGTTGGATCTAGCTGTATTGTGTCTAATGGCAAGTTTCTTTTAAAGAAAGTTGAAAAACAAATATCCAAGACTGACTTTATTTCTAGTTACTGTCCACAATTTATTGAGCATAATTTTTTTTCCAGAAACAAAAAGCATTCATTTTGTGCCAGTGATGCCTTTAAGATCTATTGAGACACTGCAGCTGTTTTGGAAGAAAACGTTTAATTCCAATAAAAATGGGACAGCAGGGTGGGAACAGGATCTTAGTGTGAATCTTATGCTCACTGCCATAGGTCCAGTCATTTGATCTGGTGGTTTATAGTCTTGATGTGATCCACTTTCATAGTCTGCAGCAGGTTCTGCATCTCTTCACGTGTAAGAAAATGCCCCATAACATCACAGAGGGGTGACACAAATTTAAGGCCCATGTCTGTCCCCTAATTGTTTTAGGGGCTGTGCCTCTCCTGGTTCCATGTTCACCGTCTGGTGGTCATGCCCCAAAGTGCAAAGGCTATGGCTACAGGTCTAAAATATTCTTCGCTCTTTGATGCACTGTGGCATCCCCAGGAATCCTTGAGAGGCCCTTTTGAACAAAACACCACAATCATTGCCCAAATCTGAAGCCAGGTTGGCAAGCTTTGTGTTTCTGGCAACCCACCAGACCATAGCGACATCATTGAAACAACCTACCCTTAACTGTAACAAAGTTACACACAGGCTCACAGGCACGCTAATAAATGAAAAGTTGACAGCAATATTGAATGATTCCTAGGATTTCTGAGGAATTCTTAGGAAATTTCAGGATCTGGAACCCCTGACTGAATTATGTACAATCCCTCAGCTTGAATAATGATCTTTTACGCATTTTATCCTCTGGGTGGGGGTTGTACCCCCAGTGGACTGCACTTTTCTTTCTCTCCTCTTTTTTTCTTCTTCCTCTCTTTCTCCGTATATTCAAGTTAATCTGTATCTCTCTTTTAGAATATAAAAACAACTAGCTGGCTTGTTAGGGCCACTACAAGTACTCCCAGCCTCCTAAGAAATGAGCTCCACCTTGGAACCAGTCTGTTTGTCTGGGGAGCAGATCACCTGTGTGGTGAAAAGTAGCCTGTGTGGTGAAGAGACTAACCTGTGTGGCAAGGTGACTGGATACAACCTGTGTGTTTAAGGTTTTGTTTAAAGGAACAACCTGAAGTCGGTGAGACTTTACAAGTGTTGCTTACAGAGAAGCTGTACTTTATGTTTGAAGACCCCTGCGAGGGGGTCCACCTGTGTGTTTTGAGTTAATAAAAGTGGGCAAATAAGCCGTTAAAAAGACATGGTAAGCGAGTGGAAGAGTGCTTATTGTGCTACCTTTGGAAGCTAATTCTCACAATACATACATCATTTGGTGTGGGTATTTCCCACTTCATAAGTTACTGCTCTTATAAAGCAGTTACATTTTACTCAGATGCACTTGAGATGCTTGCTTCGTTGTATTGCATTTCATATCTACTTTATTAAGATATATCATTTTATGATGCACAGACTTATTTCCTGCTGAAAATCAATACAATGTTTGTAAAAGTCCCATGTCTCCTAATCATCTTGTCTCTGCGCAGCCCTTATTTCTCCTTTTTTTTTGTAAAGAAAGTGGATGTCATGAGTTTAACTATTTTGTTGCCCACTTCATTTTTTTTGTAGAGTCTTATTAGGCACCATTCACAAGGCTTGCCTGTCATTTTTCAGGGAAAATTAATTAAATTCATAAAACATTTTAATCGGAAGGTCAACGTTAGTCTTTGGGCAGGCGGATTTAAATGGACATTTCTCCGTTCATATCCGATTTACCTCGGAGTCCATCTAGGTCCAAAAAGACCCAGAAAAGAGCTCCATTTTTCGAAATTAAATGTGATGGATCGGAGTTAAAAGGATGTAAACGAACACACGTCTGTTTACTGCCACCTACCTCTAACATCCATTAAGCTCCGTTCTTTCCTCCATCACAAGATGGATGAAGAAACTGAATGCACACGGATGTCACAGAAGTGACATCTGTTTTGTTCTGCTCTGATTCAGCAGGGAATCTGCTCACGGAGGTTCATATAGGCCTCTGAAGTCTTAACTTGTGACTCTGTGGTTTATGTGTTTTACTACTTTTTGTTCCGCTGTGTTTGTCTTTTCTTTTTTTTTTGCATTATTCAAATCCAAAAGGTATAAAAGTGAGTCTGTGATTAAGCCTGTGTGGTGAAACAACATAGAGGCATGCGGCTGTATGGCGGGGCTCATCTGTGTTATTTGAAATGAAGATCTATCAATAAAGACGCAGAGCAGTGGTACCAGTGTTTTGTGCGGTAGTTTTCCTGTTATTTTGTCAAAATATATACTCACTTTATAGCATACATGTAGGCATTTTCAGCAGGGTCCTTGCGGCCAAATATTTGCTTGAAATCAAAGTGATCCAGACTCATTACAAATGTTTTGTCTCGCAGCTTCTTTTCTATTTATTTTGTTTTTTTCACTGGTGTTTGAAACATCCAGCTGTGAGCTAATAGGCAGTCTTATCGTACTTGTCAGCCACTAAGCACAATCTGTGATGCTGAAGTCCAAAATGCATATATTTTATGTAGTCTGCAGAATAATCACCTTGCTGTTTTCCAGTTTAGTGCACTGGTGAAAGCTGCTGATGGATGTTAAGCTGTTTAAGGGCAAGTCCAGTTACATTCTTTCATCCATGATTATTTACACATTCCCTTCTAATTTACAACATACTGGCTGTTGCAAATGATATGCAGTTTGTTTTGTTTTGTTTTTTACACTTTTACAAATCCCCATCACTTTCTGCAGTCAGTTTGTTCACTTGCCAAGTTTACACATACCCTCTATGTACACAGGCAAGTGTTTTAATTGTATGCTTCGGCTCAGATCCATACCTACTAAAGTCAAGGTATAAGTTGACCTAATCAACTCTTCCAAAAATATTCTAGGCACCTACTTATTAAGTTACCACCCCAGTTTTGTAATTTTAATATTAACAAATACATGCACAGACATTTCTCAGTGTTGACCGAACACTTGTAGATGCTGCAAATTCTACATTTAACCCAAACAATGTCTCTGGCCAGCTCTGGTTTTGTTAGTAGCTTTTATGCATAAACATTAAACAGCAAAAAATGTCTTAACATTTTTAAAAATGTCTGCCTAATTTTTGGCTTCCGAGTGTTTCTATTTGCAAACCTGTTAAGATAGCTGTAACTGTCAGTGGTACTTGCTTAATGTATGGCCACCTAAAGGCTGCCCATAGACTTTGGTAAAAGGTCGAAAGTGCTGGAACAAACCGACCAGCATCAGGAAGAACATTTTCCAATCACTGCAATTATGTCAAAGGTTATGTCTATGGAGAAAGGCTTGGCAAAGGAGGAGAGTGATACAGGTGAACACTTCCTTGGGGGAGAACTGTGGCCCAGCATGAAACTGCCTTGCACTAAGACATGTAACATTCACCTGGTTTGGTGAAAATGGTCTTTCAGCTCAGGTCTGGCTTAATAGTTTTGTAATCATTAAAGCACTTGATTCTATTCTATCATGTATATTCATTATTTGTTTTCCGTGGTCACAGTGGTTGTATGGAATACATTCAGTAGCATTCTTCTTTGTTTTTCAGAGCTGCATTTGGTAAAGAGTCAGAAGTCCTGATAGGAAACCTTGGAGATAAACTGATTCCACAGAATGAGATTATGAGTGATGTCAGTGACTTGAAAGCCCTTGCCAATCTGCATGAGAGCCTGGAATGGCTGGCAGGAAGACTTAAAGCTGCTATCGCCAACCTGCTAAGTGCACAATGTAAGTTTCTGTAAACTTATCATTATAGCTATCAGTGGAAATTATGACATCTGTCAAAACCAGTTAATACACATTAAGATGCTTAATAAGAATCGGCAAAATAATTACTTTTCATTTTACTGCACTTTGGCCGTGTAACCATATTGTGTTTTTCCTTTTTTTTGTGACAGAGTTGCTATCTTGAAGTTAATAACCACTTCAGGACCGCCGTATGTATATAAACTGCACTGTCCTGAAGTGGTTATAACTAGATCATGGCTGCTGCACCATCTTTTACAGTCGGCGATTGCTGTCACATACTTGGGTTCGGACAGCTATAAAGCTACCTGATCTCTTACAGCTCCACTGCCGCTGACAGCTATCCCAGGCTCCACTGTCCCTGGGACCGGCACGGCAGGTCCCTACACCTGGAGCAGAGGGAACTCAGCACACGTTCAGTGGATGATCTCTGCTCCAATCACTGAAACCAGAAGCAATGTGTAATTCATCACTTCCAGTTTCAGGCTGTCATTTCTCCAGCTGTTGTGGCCGAAGAAGAAGATGATTAAGCAGAATCGGTGCCTTTGTCCGTTTCTTTGGGGTCCATAGGTGGCATCAGAGGTCTAATAGACCCCTGATGTCTCCATAAAGAGGACCTATCACTGTAGCTGTGTTATGGCATAGAGGACTTGTTAGCCCCACTATATGATAGCAGTAAAGTTGAGTTTAAAAAAAAAAACATTTAAAAACAAAAATATTTTTCAAAGTCCCCTGCCCACACATACAAATGCTTCAGATGCGCTTACATGCGAAAACGCTGATTGCCCCACCCGTTGCATATCACCGCGAACTTCAGAGTGAGAACAATAATTCCAGGGTCATCACTCACTGTTAACTTTAAATTGATTAGCTGTAAAAGCTTTTAAAGTGTCACTTATGGGCAATTTTTGGCATTGTCGGTTTTTTTTTACATTTTATGAGCGCATGCAATTTAACATGTTTAGCATTTATTTACCCAACACAATCCCATATTTAATATGTTACCAAAACACTGGGTATTATATTCTGTTTGTTTGCACTAAAATTAATTTGAGTGTATTTTATACTAAAAATATTGAAAAAATAAGATATCGTGCAACCAGAAAATTCCAACTAACTTTTTTATTCTACAGGGCCTTTCAGTGCTTTCAGAAAATATATAATTATCGAGGGGGAGGGGGGGATTAAGCTGTTTTCTACTGGAAAATTCTGATTTTATCATGTTTGTGCAAAAATTAAAAAATTGCTCCTGCTGGTAAGTGGTTAAAAAGGCATGCATGGTAAAAAAAAAAATTGCAACTTAAGGAAAGGTTTTTCTCTGTCTTTCCCCTATTGCAAATAATGGGTCTGCATAATCGAATTCCCTGAATTATTATCACAAAACACAAAAAAGTGTTGAAATAGTCTAGAGCAAGTTCATCAGCAGGTTCAATTGTATGGCTGAATTAATATGTCTAACGAAGGAATAGAGAAACATCAGTTTTTAATTTGTATAATTAGGCCCCTTGTCTGAATATTGCTTGCAATGGTGCATTGTGGATAGTTAAAAAAATACTATATTTTTGTTTCACAGTTTAAATGCAGAATACCTCTATCTGCAGGAGAAGAGTCAACAATGTTGCAATGTCCACTGCTTTATTGTGACTGAATTGGCATTCCAGTGTGTGTGTGTGAGTGGGGGGGAGGTGGGGGGGGGGGGGGGGGGGGGGGGGGGGGGGGGGTGGAGACACCTAGCTCGTCCCCCTCCCATCACCACTGTGTACTACCTGTTCTAAAAAAACTCCCATCGGTCACCCTGTATAATCAGTTAATGCACCAAATGAGGCATTTCTTCAGTTTCTCTTCCCCAATGATCACTTTGGCTATAGCAAATCACATGGTAAAAGACTGCAGCAGGCAACTGATCTGTGTGAGACTTTTGTGTTGATTCTAGATAGTGTCTGAAGAAAGATAGTGCAGTCTTACTTGAGAGAACGGCAGATGTAGGCATTGTCAGAGTAGTACTGTGATTTGTGTAATAATTACACTTGCACGTTATTTAGAATAAATGTACTTAACATGAAAAACAATATCTGATTCTAGGACCAGTTTACTTGCTTATATTCTTTTATGCCATGATTCTTGCTGATGGTTATTAATATTACTTGACGTGAACACCATTTACGCAACTTAAACTATTAGTCTTGACATTGACTTTGTTGTTTCTTGGAGTTCAGCCAGAATTTATTTACTTGAATTTATAAATGAAAGGTCGAAAGAGCCAGTTCCCTGGGAAATCCCTAAATCCTTAATCACTCAGCAGAGGTCAGGCATTTGAACATTTAAATGGAATATGTGATGAGGTGCAATGCAGCATTGAAGGAAAGACCAGTCACACACTGCAGCCCTGTTCACCTATGCAAGCTTAAGATGATGAGGAAAATAATAAATGACTTGATCTCATCCTTCACACTATGGTATTGGGCTGTTCAAGCTTGTATTATCCAAAACACTAATTCCCTCTTGTGAATCTTGATATGTCTTACATGAAATGTTCAATATACTTAAAATATGTCACCTTTTTGTTAAAAGGGATGCTAAAATCCTCCACAAATATGGATTGTCTTCATTTATACATCAGAAAAGAACTTTAGATGCTTTGTGAATATTTACTTTATTGCTCTGTGTAACACCCCTGAAACCAACGTATCCCACATATTGTGTTACACATATTATTTGTTTCATTGTATTTCATTGTATTGTCGATGACTTGGTGTCCTTTGACACTTAGTGGCAGTGTGGTGCCATAGTGTGGTGCATTTGGTATGTTTCTTTGTTTTCCATCCTATTTAGTGCTAGCTAGTACAGTCCTGGCTAGACCCCTCCAGTTCTCTCATGCTCCCTTATCTGGTTTCAGTTAGATACAGGGCTTAGAAATTCATTGTCTTCTTACTCTCAAAAAGACTTCGGCCTGGTTCAAACCTGGGCGTTTTACAGCGCGTTCCTACGCGCTGTAAAACGCTCAACATGTGAAAACCAATAATTGCCTATGGGCATGGTTCCCACCTGGGCGTTTTACAGCGCGTAGGAAGGCGCTGAAAAACGCCCTACGCCCAAAGGCGTACAGGGGCTTCTTTGGGGCATATTTGCCGCGCGTATCCATTAGGATACAGCCGGATAGCCCTCGTAAACGCGCGTTTCTTTTACCGCAAATCGTGGTAAAAACGCGCGGCACGAAGCGCGCGGCAAACACGCATATTCCGTACTCTCAGGTGTGAACCCAGCCTTAAAGTTCTTACACTTTCTACACTTAAAAAAAACTCACTCTGTACTGTATTTTGTGAAGTAAAAACTGTGCTGTATTCAACTTCAGCAAATAGTCATACTGTCCGGACAGATTGAGTCATTCCATAAAGTGGCATTTAAAACAAAACAGTGCCAGACTGTCCTGGTATTCAAATATAATTCCGGAGCACTCATTCCAGCATTTGACTACAGCTACTCCTCATTTAACCTACCTGTTTAACGACCGCTCGGGCTTACAACCATCTCTCTGACCAGTTGGAATTGTACACTGTACGAGAACTTTTGTCAAGCTCATCCCACATTACCCTTTCTCAGTCTGTCTCGTTCTGGTAGTTGGTCAGTCAGTAATTTTGTTTACATTTTTTTTAAAGTGAAGAGACAAAATAAAAATTTAAAACTTTTATTAAGTCAGTACATTTTTAACTACTGTACTGTACATTGGTATTTGCGGTATGCAAACCTATGTCATGTACTAGTCCCATCACTGGAGCCATTTTTTAAAATGTATTTTTTATCCGATTAACTGATTAATCGAACTTAATAATCGGCTAACTAATCGATTTTGAAAATAATCGTTAGCTGCAGCTCTAACTGTATATTATAGCTGATTTCCTCTATTTCCACTTGGTGACCAATACGCTTAACGACTTAGTCGTAGAAACGGAACTCGGTTAATAAGTGAGGAGTGCCTGTATATAGTCCTGGCTATGATGTCACCACACATCAATGTGGGACAAAGATGTTTTGCGCAGGTAAGTAATCCCTATTTGGTTTACAACTACCCATGCTTGGGAGGGGTCCCGAGGCACTAACACTAATGTTTAGGAGGGGAGACAAGGAACTAAAACTAATGTTTTGGAGGGGGGGGGGCAACACACTGATGCACACTTTTGTGGAGGTGGGAGGGGTATCAAGGCACTGAATGTTTTAGAGGAGGGAGCGGGTAAGGCGCTGACACTAATGTTTTGTAGGGGAACAAGGTGGCTGGAGAGGATCTGTGATGGGACCTGTCTGCAGGACGAGGACACATTGATTCCCTCTATGTCCTGAGAACAGGCTTGTAAACTGTGCAGGGTCAGGCAGCGTGAGTGGATCGGCTTACAGTAAGAGTCATGAGAGTTTCTGAAGTGTCTCAGTATCTCCTGTTCCTCCGTGTTAGAGAGAGAGGTGTTTGTGCCGTCCAGCAAGAGAGGGAGAGAGGGGGGAGAGAGGCAGATCTGGCCCCACCTGCTCTTAGGTCGCTGGCCAGTGATGTAAGAGGAGGCGGGGTTGCTCTTAGGCGGGCCCTGCCTCCTCCTTCACTGCGACGGTCCGAGAACTCGATGATTTAGAACTCTCGATCGAACACCGGTGAAACCGGCCTTTTCTGCCGCAGCTGCTGGCTGCCACTGACAGAGCCGCTGCGGAGCTGTGTCAGTGACAACCAGCACACTGATATGCAGGGCCGGTGCAAGGATTTTTGCTTACACAGGCAAAGGTGCATTTTTGCCCCACCCCCAAGTTTAAAGTTTTTCTAAGTTCACCTTTCTGACCAAGTTACACCCATATTTAGGATGAAGCATGGTCAGATTGCCACCCCCCCTCCGCCTCCCCGCCTCTGCCACTTACCTGAATCACCGCAGGCTGGTGGGGTTTTTTTGAAAGGTGCATGACTGTACGTGGCTCCGCCCGCACAGCTGCATCATCCATCCACAGTA